CCTGCTGCTATAAACATTGGGGTATAAGTGCCCCTATGCATCGGCACTCCTGTATCCCTTGGGTAAATTCCTAGCATTGCTATTGCTGGGTGATGGGGTAGATCTATTTTTAATTTTTTGAGGCACCTCCACACTGTTTTCCAGAGCGGCCGCACCATTTTGCATTCCTACTAACAGTGCAAGAGGGTTCCTGTTTCTCCACATCCTCACCAGCATCTATAGTTTCCTGATTTGTTTATTTTAGCCACTCTGACAGGTGTGAGGTGGTATCTCAGTGTGGTTTTGATTTGTGTTTCCCTGATGAGGAGTGACATTGAGCATCTTTTCGTGTGTCTGTTGGCCATCTGGATGTCTAATCTTTGGAAAAGTGTCTGTTCATGTCTTCTGCCCATTTCTTCACTGGATTATTTGTTTTTTTGGGTGTGGAGTTTGGTGAGTTCTTTATAGATTTTGGATACTAGCCCTTTGTCTGATACGTCATTTTCTTCTTGAAGCTAGAACAAGCAATCCTAAAATATGTATGGAACCACAAAAGGCCCCGAATAGCCAAAGTAATTTTGAAGAAGACCAAAGCAGGAGGCATCACAATCCCAGACTTTAGTCTCCACTACAAAGCTGTCATCATCAAGACAGCATGGTATTGGCACAAAAACAGATACACAGACCAATGGAATAGAATAGAGGCTCCAGAATTGGACCCACAAAAGTATGGCCAACTAATCTTTGACAAAGCAGGAAAGAATATCCAATGGAAAAAAGACAGTCTCTTTAACAAATGGTGCTGGGAGAACTGGACAGCAACATGCAGAAGAATGAAACTAGATCGCTTTCTTACACCATTCACAAAAATAAACTCAAAATGGATGAAGGACCTCAATGTGAGACAGGAAACCATCAAAACACTAGAGGAGAAAGCAGGAAAAAAACCCTCCCTGATCTCAGCCTCAGCAATTTGTTACTTGACACATCTCCAAAGGCAAGGGAATTAAAAGCAAAAATGAACTATTGGGACCTCTAGATAAAAAGTTTCTGCACTGCAAAGGAAACAATCAACAAAACTAAAAGGCAAGGGAAGGAATGGGAAAAGATATTTGTAAATAGAAGTCTCATTTAAATAATAACAAAAAAAGTCATCCGGCAGGCTTCAGATCACAGGTGCCAGGCCACAGCAGGACCCCTGGAAACTTCTTGTTGGAGGGGATTGTCAGCTGTTACTCCCTTTCCTGGGCACTCACTGAAGGTGGGGGCGGGGAGGGGGGTTCATAGCCTCTGGCAGTATCTTGATGAATGAGCACCGTCAATTTTTTTTGTAATCTTTATTTTTGAGGGAGAGAGAGAGAGACAGAGTGTGAGCAGGGGAGGAGGAGAGAGGGAGACACAGAATCTGAAGGAGGCTCCAGGCCCTGAGCTGTCAGCACAGAACCCAACGCAGGGCTTGAACTCACCAACTGTGAGATCATGACCTGAGCCGAAGTCAGACAACGGACTGAGCCACCCAGGTACCCCAGGCTCTCTTGATTCTAAAGTGAGGACAAATACAGGGAGCATCTGTAAGTCACGGGGGCTTTGAAGCCCTTCCCGTTTCAGGGCTCCTAGCCCACTGCTCATGGGGTGCTGCTGGCATAAATGCAGCCCGTCCCCCCTCACCTCCACAGGCAATAAGCACTGTCACACCACCAGTGAACCCTGTTCATGGCCCCGCCCCGCCCAGGCCACCAGACCTTGATGCCTTGGAGGTATTAGAAGGCAGGTCCACAGCTGGGTCTTGGGGGACCCTCATGTTTGCCAGTGGGCACAGGAGAGAGGGAAAGGCAAACACACCTCGCCTGCGTTGAGATGGGCTGCCTAGGAGATGAGTGTATTTTGGTGAGGGTGGGAGGAGGCAGGTAATGAGCTCCTGGTAATTTCTAGCCTAAAAATAGTCACCTGAATAGTCGCCATTAAGTACAAGCCTTCTATTTTCCAGTCACCTGTGCCAGGCACTTGAAGGTTGTTAAATTCAAACCCAGGAATGCTGTAAGTAGGGGCTGCTGCTCCCATTTTACAGAGCGGAAACAGGCTCAGAGAAACTAGAAGCCTTTCGCCCCAAGCTATGTTCAGTAAGTGGAGGAATGTTTGCCTCTGGAAGGAGTGAAAACCCAGGCTGGAGTGAAATTCTGACTCCCCTACTTACCAGCCATGTGGTTCTCGATAAGAAGTACTTACTGTCTTCATGTCTTAGTTTCTCTACCCATCACATGGAGATGATACCTGCCTCACAGCATCTCTGTGAGGCTTTGATGGGGCAAGATATTTAGGCACCTATTACAGTGCCTCGCATAGAGCAAATGCTCAGTGCATGGGCGTGATTCATTCTCTCATTCTCTCTGTAGGCCTGCAGGTCAATGGCCCGTGAGGACCAAGAGTCCCTCCTCTGGCAAGGCGCCTGGGTGGCTCAGTTGGTTAAGCGTCTGACTTTGGCTCAAGTCATGATCAAATGGTTTGTGAGCTCGAGCCCTGCGTCGGGCTCTGTGCCGACAGTTCAGAGCCCAGAGCCTGCTTCGGATTCTGTGTCTCCCTCTCTCTCTGCCCCTCCCTCATTCGCACTGTCTCTCTGCCTCTCAAAAAATAAGTAAAACAAAATAAAGAGAGAGTCTCTCATATGGGGGAGGAGAGTAAATGTTTTCTTCACCTCCAATGACTCTCTCCTCTTACGGAGCCTTCTGAAGAGCCCCTACTCTAAAGGCATTTAGAAAACAGGGTCTCCAAGCCAGGAAGTTCTTGTTAACAGATCCTCAGGAAAGTGCCTGCAGAGGCATGTCCTGCCCCTTCCTGCTATTTCCTCCCAACATTTAACCTTAGTCCTGCCTTGCTGACCTCTAGGACCATGGCCATCACATTGTCTAGGACAGCTGTTTGCCATCTGTTACCTGACATCCCTGTTGTGGCCTCAGGGTGGTCATTCTGTTCCATATCGTTCATGGCCACATTCTCTTTAGGATGGATAATCTCAACCCCTTTGCCCATGGAACCAGTGGTTGGCTTTCCCTGAATAAGCCGTGGCCCAGAGAGTGGGAAGGATGGTGGGAGCCGTATTTTCCATGCCTCCTGGGAGCCCGGCATGGTGACGTGTGCTGGGGGTGACAAGGTTAGGGAGGGCTGGCTTGCACTGGAGATGAACACTGGCATGGAAAACATCTCTCTCCATCCTCGAGAGGGGAGAGCTCTTCGGGGGCAGCCAGACCTTCCTCCAAAGTGGGGAACATTACTGCTCTGGCAGGCACTCTGAGGCAGAGAGAATAATATAATCTGATATTTCCCACTCTTTGGGGAAGAGATTACACATATAGTAGCCATTTTCAAGAGCCACGGAGGAGTGCAGCCAGAGGGGGAGGAGGGGCCTGAACTTGGAATCCAAGGAGAGGAGCCTGCTGGTTGTGCAGGCAGACAGTCTTTTCCATTTTTAAAGCTCCACTGCATTCCCTCTGAAAACAGCACATTTGGCGGCCTCTGACTTTCTTCTCTGGGCTCTGCTTAGTTAGCATCACGCCGACTCCCTTTGCAATCCAGTAGCCTCTTGAAGTGTGTTTGTTTGCCTGATGGGACTGAGTGGACAGGTCCTGGCCTCTCTGCTGCAGTCTGTCACATGCCCCTGGGGATGGTGCTGTGGCCCCATCACAGTGCTCTAGCGAGCTCACTCCAGCCCCAGGCGGTGCTCCGATCCCAGCTCTAGGGTCTCAGGGCTATTGATTTCCTTTTGGCCCCTCAAAATGCCAATTCTCTATCATGGTTTCAGGAGCAGAGTTCTTAATTCATGCCAAGGGCTACTTCACTTGTGGAGAATCGTTTCTTGGGTGTGTTGAATAAATACTCTGAGGAGAGAGAGGATTTCCTTTCCTATATGGCCTGGAAAATGTCCAGCTCTGATTCCTTAAGGGACATGGGCTTTACCCTGGCTTGGGGCCCTCAGATTTAATCTAGCTGATGCCACAGTCAGTCCCCTCAACCTCAAGGTCCACCCTGGTAATCTATTTGTGCAGCACTTTGTAATTCCCAAAGTGCCCTTAGCTCCCAAACTTCATTTAGGCTTGACAGCAACATGGGTGATAGGTTGGACAGCTATTAGTCTGGCTTTTCCAGAAGCTGCAAAGCTCACACAGGTTAAGCGACTTGTCCAGAGTCATGCACCTGCCAGGAAGCGGGGTAGGACCGTAAGTTTTGGGAACTCCAGTCTGAGACTCTCAGTGTTCACTATACCATGAGGGGCCTGCTCTCTACCCTGAGATGGTCACGTGACTGTGCTGAGATGCGAAAGGGTCGTGTCACTCACTGGACTCTTCACTTAGGGACTTGGGGTCCAGAGGTGGCCGCTGTAAGGGTGCAGTGCATTTTGGGGATGGGGCGAGAGTGCAGAGTGGGCTCAGGGAACAAATATGTCGATGTTTATGCGAGTTCAGGGCAGAAACAGATGCCCCTGCTTTGGCACTTGAAGCAGAAAACCATCTGACACAAGGAACAGGGTGCTGAGAACACCCTTAGATGGGCCGGACTAAGGCACCAGGCGGCGCCTCCAGGAACGATTCCCTGGATCACAGAGAACTCCCTGCCTCGGGAGCCTCCCCCTACTACTCAACCCCCTGAATTCAAGAGTACATGGCACAGTGGCAGGCCAGGCCCGAAGAAGCTGCCACTGCCGCTGCCACTGTCCCTGGGCACTCTGGAGCTGGAACTCGGACACTGAGATCCCGCTGTCGAAAAACTTGATGTTTCTTGGATGTTACCAGCAGAAACAGCCAAAGGGGCGGGAAGAGTCTGGTTCCTGTCTAGAAACATTGCTTACAAGGGGATCTGGGAAATGTGGCTTTTTGTTTGCTGGCATCCAGGCCCTGCAGGGCAGGAAGGGACAGGAGGAGGAAAGTGTGATGGATGCTGAGTGGTTTCCAACACCGCGGCCGGCCTGACACCCACTCTGCCATTATCAGTGAGAACCAGAAGGCAAACATCTGAAAACAATGCCCAGCTCTGGAGTGGCCATTCCGACAGTCTTTATTAGCACAGGAACCACCCCTAGCACACAGTCCCGTGATGCTGAAAATGTGCACAGACGCCACATATCTTAAGAATCAGCCACGTACTTCATGGTGGAATTGAGAATCTCTATCCCGTGCAGCTCTCTCAGCTGAGCGACAAATCTGCCATAATCAGAACACCAAGTTCAGGACATCAATGCCATAGTGCCTGGAGCCACCCCCTCTCAGGTAGAAGCTGGCTGGTGAGGCAGAAAGGGGAAGTAGCTGATGCCCTGGGAGCCCTGGCCATCAAAGCACGTAAGGTGCTCAGGGAGGTACAGAAACACGGTAAATACTGTCATGAGTGGCAGATGGACAGGCTGATCCGACGGGGCCTTGCTCTCGGGGACTCCCCAGTAGGTTGCCACTTTGAGCTCAACCTAGCTGACGTGCCTTGCTTTCTGTAGAAGAAAGATTTTATCTGTGCCTTCCGTCTGAACAATCAGACAGAACTTGAAAGGGCCTCAGATGTGATCCCAGTCGACCCTCTCACTCTCTGGGGAGGAATCAGAGGGCTTAGTCTGGAAGAGAAGGAGCCAGCTCTGCTCCCTGTCCATGGAAGGCACCCCTCTCCTATGCCGGGACTCCATCCCTCAGACATGCATGATAACTAGGTGTTTCAGCACATCAGAACCCAGCCAGAGCAGAACAGAAGCCTGAGCTAAAAGGGAAGCAATGCACACAGTGAGAGCAGAGATCTCTTGCCCTGGCTTGTCTTAAACATGCCATTCTTGCTTCAGTTTCCTCCAGCACGGGAATGTGGCCCTCACTGGGCATTCTCCCACATGCTCAGGCAACGGGCAAAGAAGTGAAGGAGGAGGGATGCGTGGACAGATGGGCAAGAAGCTAGAAGAGAAGGAGAGAATGGAATGGAGGGAAGATGACGGCAGTGAGTGCACAGGACAGATGCCTGTCAGAGAAGCATCCTCCCCCTCTCTCACTGGAGCCTGAGAGCCCAGGTCTCTGAGGGATGTAGCTACTGGGCCTAACACCTGTGTGCACAGTAAGCACCAGGACTCCCAGGGCTCTCCACGGAGTTCTGGGTGGCACAGAGGCCCAGCCACCGCATAGCCACCGCATGGTACCTCTGCTGGCCCTGCGTCTTCCAGGATGCAACTGACGCGGGCCACCCCGGCTTGGAGCGGGTGCATACCTGGGCTCGGCCGTGCACAGCTTCCCCAGGGCGATCCCTGCGTTCAGCTGCACGGCTGTCTTCTGGGCGTCGCCACCTGCGTGCCTTAGCAGCACCTGCACAATGTCCGTCTTCAGCAGGGAAGACGCGGCACGGGGCACCTCCATGCAGTTCCCCAGGCAGAGGGCAGCGTTGGCCACCACAATCTCATCCTCTGAGCTGAGCAGCCTCAGCAGAATGCCAAACTCTAGAGGGAGGGGAGAGAACCAGCATCTGTTCCTCTGAACCTCAAACAGCAAGGGACAGGAGGAGCACCTGGAGTGTCAGTGACACTGAGCCTCCCCAAAGCTCTGACATGTCACTTGGTCACTCAGCAAGTATTTGCTGAGTACTATGGACCTCCTTGGCTCCTGGATGCATCTCTGATGTTTCTCGGGTGCCCAGGGCAGTGCCCAGCGTGACACAGTTGTTGTGTGGCTGAATGTTATGTGTCACACAGGTCTGTCTTCCCTAAAGTCCCCGTTCTAAGCCCCTGCACTCCATCTGAGGGCCCCGAGTAGGGGGCCCCGGGTCTGCTCCCTGTGGCTGCAGGGCAAGGAGCAGGATGAAAAAGAAGGGCTCCTTCTTCCACGCCAGAGGACGTGTGAAGAACATTCGCAGGCTGCCTCGCTGGGAACACCCGCTGTACATGACCGCAGCCATGTTTAGTTACTAGACTAAGGCTGCCTCCGACTCTGCTACCTTCCCTGCTCACTAAAGGTCTGTGAAGGGAGAGAATTCGCGTTAGATCAGCGGAAGCAGATGCTCTGCATGAGCCCGCTCATGCTCTGTCTCTCTCTTAAAAATAAATAAATGTTAAAAAAATTAATAAAAAAACCCAAAGAAACCATTTCGGTTTACTAGGAGAGAGGCAGTGGCTCCTGGCCTCGATCCTGTCATCTTTGAGTTGCTTTGCAGCAGGGTCTCCAGCATGGGTGTGCTACCTGTGTGCAGCTGAAGGCTAATTAAATGCTTCCAGAACAGGGTGAAACAGATAATCTTAGTAAACAGTGCAGAAGTCTAGAGAGAGGTTAACAGGGCTCTGCAGTGCCTCTCCCCACGCCTCGCCCCTGCTCCCTGGGCAGCTGTGAGGCGGGATTAACCTCTGGGATGTAGGCTCTTGCCCAGGGAAACTATCACTTACTTTGATCCAGTCTTATCACTTCTTCTCGTGCTTCGTGTTGGCTATTAGTGCAGATAGCTAGTATCTTCACGGCATATCGTGATGCGGTCTGGCCTCCTGTCTGGGTTTCAGAATGAAATTGGAAAAATAAAGTCACTCCTCTGATTGTTCTTGGCCACAAACCAGCGAGCAGCTGTACCTGTGTGAGCGGCTTCCTAAACTTCTAAAACACAGTTCCCCCGAGAATGGCGGGTGCTTCCCGGTGAGCAGGCCCGGGCCCTGCCAGGCTGGTGTCATTCCCGTCCCCAGCAGCACAGCCCACAGCCCGACAGGAATGCGGGCCTGTCATGTGCACTGGGTAATTGCCTGGAGAAGGTTTTATGAGTGAGTGGCTGAGGAAGGCATGATGCTGTTGACTGGCAGATGTACCAAAGAGGGAGGAAGAGCACCCCCCCCCCCCCCACTGCCTTTCACCGTGTCACCTCACCACTGGAGAATGGGGAATGACTTGCTAAGGCTGTCAGGCTGACAGGCCTGCATGGAGAACATCACAAATCTAGATCATTTTAAGAGGTGACAACTGTCAACTCATAACCCTCAAAATCACCCAATGCAGGATCTTCAAGAGGCACACGTGCATATATACATGCACAGTGCACACGTGTGTGCACGTGATCAGCAGTTTCCGGCGGGGTGCAAGACTTGCATGGGGTGAGTGATGGTCATTGTCCATGTGGCAGCTTAATAACGCTGACCCAACCTTCTACCCCTCAATGTTGCCCCTGCCTCAGCAGCGGCCCCCCGACAGAGCATGCCTCCTGGCCCTGCTCAGCCTGGGGTTTTATGAGAAGGCCTCCCGTGGGGTCCTTATTCACCTGGTCCTTCCGGTGGGTCTACTTCAGCTGCTGCGCTGACTCAGATCACAGAAGCACCATTTTGTCCCAGAGCAACACTGCCCCCTCCCTCCCTCATAAGCGGAGCTACAGCCAACATTCTCCAGACAGCCGGAGAAAGCATGGCCAGCAGAACACGAGCCAAACAAGGGGCCCGTGGGACCTTGTGGAAAGCCACGCCAACCATCTTTTTCGGGGACAGAGCCTGTATATTTTTAAGTGAGGCTCGAGTGGCCACCAATTGTTATGGATGCTTCTAATGAACAATTTACGGATTTGTTCAGCAATCTTACGGTGATGTTCAGAGCACTGTCTTGGGTGACAGGTGGAAGGAATCCTCATTCAAGAAGTTTCACAGAGGGCAGGGGTGAAATGGCAGCCCCTGAATGGAACAAAACCCTCCTTAATTCTGCCCCTCAGATAACCTGTGCCGCTCCTGGAAATGCAAGTGGTTGTAACCCAGTAAGTTGCTCTACCTTTAGGAACTTAATCATCTTCTTCACCACTCCTGCTCTCAGGGCCTCCTCAATAATCTTCCGAGAGGAAGACAGGGTGCGGCTGAGGACGCCAGCGGCTCTCTGGGTGAAGCAGAAAGTGAAGATCATTAATCGTTCTGTTCATAAATTCTGATGACCTTTAAAAGTCAGCAAGTAGTTTAGTGAGGCGAAAACAATCATTAGTGTGGGGAGCAAAACACGCACCTCGGTTTTACAAATATGTAGCGGCCAAGGAATAGGCAGGAAGCAGTGTTCATTATACAGGTGCAGGACAGGTGACTCAAGGGCTGGAAACAGGGCCCCTGGCATGCAGGGGCCCCGTTCATTTCAGCTCTACATGGAATCGAGCAGGTCAGCTCTGGCACAGAAAGTCCTGCCCCGACACCCTGCAGTGCTCCGGGAGTAGCAGGGTCTTTACTAGACGGCAGGCTTCTTGGATTGATCCTCAGGGTCTCTCTCTTAGCTTGTCCTTCATCTTGTCTGAATCTCTGTCTGCCTGTTCTGCTTTCTGGCGGACGCCATTTATGATTTTCTGGTTCCACTTTGCTTTTTATCAAAGAGCTAGCTGTTGTTTTTATCAAAGAGCTTGCTAGGTGTTATAGATATGTTACCTTGAATCTTTCGGAGGACACAAACGATCGTCACTTTTTCTTTTGTTTCCTATATCATCTCTATTTCTTCTGGGTTCATGTTTTTCTGTTTCTCTTGTTTTTTCTATTTCTGTGTGTGGTTTCCCTGAAATGTCCCGTGACCCTTAGCTGCCCATTTATGGGCACACTTATGAAACAGCAATAAAAATATATTCCGGTGTGCTGTGTTTATTGGGAGTCTGTCGACTGACACGTGCAGAAGTAGCACTCCCAGACACTAGAAAGCAAAACATTTTTCTCTGGCCTGTCAATTCCCTTAGAGAAAAAAAGCTCTGATTTTCCACCAGAGGTATAGACACCTGATTGCCACACGCGGTCCCCCATCTCTTACTTGTAGCCTCTGTAGCACCTGGTGTTCTGGAGTCTTGAGCCTCTCCAGGGTCCTACAAGGACCTCTGGATCTGTCCTCTGTATCTGTTCTCTGCACTGAGGTTCCTTCAGCCCTGACTCACTAGCTATGACGTTTGTAGGTGTTCTTTATCTTCCAGAAACGGGTTAAAATTATTTAAAAACTGACTGATGATCTCTTGCCTGTTCATTTTGTCAGTGTGGATTTCTAGTTTTTTTTCCTTCCCTAATGTTTTCAGTCTGATTTTAATGAGGTTTCCCTACAGAGAAGGGATAAATATGGGTATTACCATATGATCAGTCTTATTTCCCTACATCTGCTCCCAGAATGTTGCCACAGCTGACACTACAGATCTCTTGTTAGGCCCAAGACAGAGGGGAGAGCCCACTACCAAGGGACCAGATGGCCCTGGTGACACTGCTGCTCTGTCCAACAAGCCGGTCGGTCAGCACCTGACTGAGGCACAGGCAGAGAGTCCTAGAAACATCTGGCCAGGAGAGTCCTTAAAAAGGTTAGCTCGCTAGCTCTGGTCTAAACCATTCTGGAAAACCCAAGCACCTGACAATAGTGATGCTTGCCACTTTTGGGGTGATGGGTCTTTATTTTGAGGATCTGATGAAAGGCATGATGCCTCTGCCATGAAAATGCATGTGCCCCCAAAACTGTCTATACAATTTCAGGGGGTTCCAGGGACCCTGGAGACCTGCCATGCACTCCAGGAGTCCACGTGAAAACCCTCCACCCTGTCCTGTCTGAATTGACTTTGGGGAAGTTGCAGGCACACTAGTCCCACACAGGGCTCGTCGCATCTGTTCAGAACCTTTATTGTGATACTGGACCCAGTCTCCAGTATGTGCTCCCTTGGAGGATTGGTTTCCCACACCTGCTGGATGTGCCCCAGGTGTTTCTCTGAGCACTAGGGCCCTGACCTAATAGGTGGAGAAGTTGGGGTGATTACTTCTGTGAGTAAACAACACATCCTTGGATGACAGCAAATGGTCTGTGGATCATACTGATGTCCCCCCGATGCTCTGTGTGTTGACCACAGGTCTTTCTCAGCTTTCTTGTCCCCATGTCAGAAGCAGAAATAAGAAAGCCACCCCAGCATGCATGTCCAAGGGGGCTAAAACCATTGTGCAAAAACAGCCTCTGGGATCATGGGCTTCAAAATACAGGCCTGGCTTTCTTGACTACGGAAAAAGATTGTAAATGAAATCTCATCACCTGTCCAATTTGCACCAGGATATCTTGGAATAGGACAAATCCTATAATTAAACTGTGGAAGTTGTTAAGTTGCAAACCATACAGAAAAGAGATTCCTGACTTGGGTCCATGGACTCTTGGGGGTCCACAGATGGGCACTGGGTTGGATGGTCACCGACTCCCCTGGAACAACAAAGGAAGCTGTTTCTGGATCTCCCGGGGAGACACTTACTGTCAGGATCCCTCCATCCTGGCTGTTGAGTAGAAACATGCACCTTCTGCTCACCTCCACAGCCCAAACCTGCCACAACAGGAGAGAGGAGGAGGTCTGAATGGCCTGTTAATCTGAATCCTCCATGGAGCTCCTTCTGAGCCAACAGCACTGGCCTCTCCCTCTTCAGCATGGCCACACTCTGTCCGTATTTTTCTCACGACCCCTTCTTCCATCACTCTTGCTTCTTCCCACAACTGTCTCATCTCCCTAACTACAGGGCAATGCCTTGAGGGCGGGGAGCACATTTTACTTGACTTTGGAAAGGCAGAACCTAGCACTGTGCTCAGCACACCCTGGACACTCAGTCCACTTTCTGGAGCAGAGTGACACAGCGTCCGTCCTGCTCTCCCCATTCCCGCCACCAGGGTGTGAGTCCCCCGCTTCTATTCTCTCTCTGAAAGCCAGAGCAGTTCTATCAATGCACAGGCTTGGGCTTGGGTTGTGCCGGGGCTCCCGGCAGGGAGGAAAGACTGCCGTACCTCACAGATGAAGGGGGACTGAAGACACAAGTTCATCACAAGTCCCAGGAGCGTGTACAGGACGTCTCTGAACAGGTCCACAGCCTCTTCACACCTGGCCTTGGGAAACAAAGCAAAGGGATCAGTGACCTTTCTGCCCTGCAGCTTTTCACGGCCACCTCATCCCTTTGGCAGTGATCTTAGTTACTCACGCACCCTGAACTGTCAGTGATGTGACCCTAGGAGATGGTGGAAGATCAGAGACCAGTTCCGTGAATTAGTGTTAGTGGAGAAGACTTGCAAGGAATCTCTGGTGCCTGAGCCATGAGACTGTGGCTCGGCCCGGTCCTATGTTTAAACTGGGGAGTGGGCAGTCAAGCCAACTCCACCGGAAAGTCCTCCAAACTCTCCAGGGTGGATGGAGAGTCCGGCCACCCATAAAATCTATGGTTGTAGAAGGGGTAAGCCACTGGCTCCAACACCCTCAAAAAGAATTTTTGGAAAAGCCGGCTAATCAAGAAGAAGCCACTGCTCCCAAAGCAGGTAAAGGACTACATTCTGAACGGAAGAGTCACAGTACCATGAGGCCCAGACAGGCATCCCCGAACTCTTCAGAGGCACACATCTGTCTTCGGACGGCAGCCTCAGCACTAAGGTTTCCCACGAGGGCAATACAGTGGCAGAGAGCTGACGTGTTGGTTATTGTAGGTTCTCTCCTCTAAGAATGAGCCAAGAGAAGGAAAGTCTGCAGAGAGCAGGCAAACGATGCCAGAGCAGTCTCTAGGGGCATCCCTCACTCAGCAAAATGCCTGGGAAGCAGACTGCGGAATGTCACCCAGGGGTACCAATGGGGCCACCTGGCACCAGCATGGAGGGAGGCACACAGGCAGTGGACCCAAAAGCACCCTAGCCTAGGATGGGGAGGCCTGGGGCTTCATCTCAGTGACTCCACCAACCCGCTGGGAGGGCTGGGGCGAGTCTCGTCCCTTCTCAGAGCTTCCATTTCCATGTGCGTGGAATACAGGCATGTGGGCAAGCTCTCAGGTCCCCTGAGACTTTGATGACTCCCATGGCACAGGGTCCAGTCATAGCATGCTGTCCTAGGAGGACCCCACCTTGCTATGTCCTGCTTCATCAGCTCAAATCACTACTTGCCTTCCCGCTGGGGATGACCACCACTCAGGGACACGGCTGCCCATGGTACTTACGACGAGCCTTGGGGTCAGAAGGGGACTGACCGACCGGAGCTGACACCCTCTCTCTGCCTCCACCTAAGACACAGTCCACACCCATCCTCTTTTCCCCGGCACTCGAGCCCCATCCATAGGCCCTCCCCACCTGTCCCAACTGCACTTGTTGTAATAACAGAATTGTGTCAATTCCAGCTGTGAAGAGATGATTAATCAACCCGAGAGACAACAGGAGTTCTGGAGCGTAAAGTGTGTTTAAATGGCTCTGCTCACGCGTCTGCGAATGTCTGTCACAGGTGCGAAAAATGCGGGCTTGCTCACCAGAACACCTGTGAGTGCCGGGAGCACACCTGGAAGGTTGGCCTGGAACCAGACTTGGAATCTGTGGAGAAAACATCCCCACGATTTAGTTCTACACTGCACAAACTATAACAGAAATACGGTGTCTTGGGTAAGGGAGCAGGCTCAGGGACCGTGTGATGTGCAGTGTGCATGGATGATTTATTCTGAACCAAAAAAAAATGTCACTGGGTATGTAATGTGGCTTTAATTTTTCTAAGTCTGGAGAATTGCCTTTGACGTTAAATAGCAGACCTCACGTGGTAACTCTTTTAGTGTGGAAGTTGCTGGAATCCCTCGATTTCTGCCATGCTCACTCACCACCAGCCCGGCCCTCCCCTGGTTCTGTGTGCCATGCAAACAGGAAACACAGAGCAAGCATGTTTATTGCACAGCGGTGAGGAGGGCCCAGATACACACACATCTGCTCCTACTAGAGCGGCTTTGACACATTCCTGGCCCATGCCATGGCCTGTCTGTGGGCACAGACAGCTCTTTCTCATCATAGGACCATGCTAAGCAAGACACCCTTAAGTTTGTGAGATTTAAAAACAGACCAAAGATGCACTTAAACCCCCAAGAATTATGAAAATTGAAGACCTCTGCTGTCTTCCCCAGCAGCTAAGTGGAGGGAAGGGGGATTACCCACAATGCCACTGAGAACCCAAGAGTAGGTTGCTTTCTATTCTCAGACTCATTCAACACACATTTGCTGGGCAGTTCCGAGTGGGCACTGATGAAGGGAAGGAAGCTTCTCCAACTGACAGTAGCTTTGTAAACTGTGAGAGGTACCATTTTTTAAGTCTGTTACTGCTTCCAGACCCATGAAGGACGGGGGTCCCCCTGCAGGCAGGGGGGACTGGAAGGGCCAGCCACAGCCCCCTGCTTGGAAGGCAGCGGCTCTTCTACTCAGTGAATCTTATGATGCTCAGTTGGCCAAACCTCCCTGCATACTGCATATTTTTAAAGATCAGACAGTTTTACAAATGTTGAAAAGGAAATGTCAGTTTCTGGAAATAAAAATTACCTTTCTTCCAGAGCCAAGTCTGTGAGCAGTTCCATAGCAGAGTTGGCCTTCTTATCTGAGAAATCAAGAAAGGACACCAGGGCTTCCAACAATCTGCAAAAATCCAGAACAACCTCAGAGCAGGCTGTCCTCCAGCCGACAGCATCCCCAACAAGGAGACCTCACAAAAAGGCCAGAAAGGAGTCTGCGTCTGGGTCACATAAGCTGAAAGGTGGCCTCACTACGTCCTCCTGAGCAGCCCAGCTCCCTGCCCATCCCAAAGAGACAGACACTTTCCTATGGGGATGACTCTGCCACTTAAACTCCCAGAGGGTTGAACAGTTTTAACCAAAGTTCACTGACTATCAGATGTCAACTGGGACGGAATCTCTGACACCTCTGCCAACTTCAATCACCATAAGTGACATCTAGGTGGCATGCTTCCTAATCTGCTGCCGACTCAAGTGGGAGGGAGGGACCCCTAACGAGGTGGGGGATGGAGTAAGGTTTCAACAAGATTTTGACGGGCTGCTGAATATGTCGGATGATATTGAATAGGGTTAAATTCAAAGCCCTCCCATTAGAGCTGCAAATTCTGTATGAGCAATAGACCTGAAAGACCTGGTTCAGACCTGGCTCATATGAAAGATTCAAGGGCATTTAGCCGATCACAAACCCAGAATGAACAAACAGTGTGCTACAGCTGCCAAAAAAAGCTAATGCAGTCTGTGGCTGTCCTAACGGCCTGGCTGCCACCGCTAGGAGTCATCTGTCCAGCCAACCCGCACTAACCACCTACTGTGTGCTCAGTGCTGGGCTCAGTGCAGGGATACAGTGCTGGGCGCCTGGTCCCCTACAGTGACACACGTGTTAGGTGGTATGTTAGAAACAGATGCATGTAAAGTGGGCACAGTGTCTCCCTGGTGTGTGGTGTGGGAGGACGGAGATAAAGGCTTCAGAGAGCAGAGGGCATGTCGGCTGTCCCCCGAAAGTACAGTGTTCACTTGTGTTTGTTCGTTCAACCGACATCACTTACTGATGACAAAGTGCCAGGCGGTGTGGTGGGTTCTGGGGCCGCAGCAAGGAAATAAGACAACGTCTCAGCTCCGTGTCAGGCACACGGGGACAGGGGCAGAGCATCACAAGCAGAGCACACGGCATTCACAAGGACGGTGAGGCACAAAACAGCAGGGGCACACGTGGGGACGCCAGCAGTTCCTCATAGCTGCTGCTTACGGCACGAGGACAGGACAGCGAGCGGCAAGGCGGGGTGCTGCGCCTTCTGTGGCCTGCTGGCAATTTGTGCTTCACCCGCGGGCCTAGGTTTTGCCGAGTGTGCTGGTGTATGGTGGGGGAGGCAGCTTCGTCGGCCTCTTGGTCTTTGGCAGAGGCTGCGTCTTAGTGAAGTGTGCAGGGAGTTCCCGAGCACTGTGTTTCGCGGTGTTGGAGAATTAATGCTATAGGCCGTAGAGAGTCATTCTGGAATTTTAAGTAGGCACATAACAGAACCGATGTGCATCGGAGGCAAATCCCTATGGTGGAATGGGAGAGGCCGGACTGGAGCCCACCGTACAGGAGACAGGGGATCCAACAGGGGGAGAACTGGAATGGTCCAGATAGTAAAGATGGGGGGATTCGCTGAGGCAGGGGCAGGGCGAGAGGCCCTCGTGAAGGCCTAGAAGGGGTGCACACAGATGCCAGAAGAGAGCCCTAAGGAAGGATCCCGGGATGCGGAAGAGGGAGAAGTGACAATATACCATCTTCCCACCCAGAGGGGCCCTCAGGAGTCTGGCTTAAGCGACTGGGTGGATGGAAGTGCCACCTATGAAGATAGGAAATTCAGGCAGAGGGTCTGCTTTGAAGAACCACTTGTGATTAACCTAGTGATGCCTGTGGTGTTGACATGGAAGATGTCCGGCAGCAGAGGAAGGTCTTCTGGCACTCAAGAGAGGGACTTGTATGTGATAACTGAGGCCACGAATGAGAAGAGGGCCAAGAGTAGGCTCCCTGATTTCCAAGGGTGACCGCATAAGGGGAGTTTGCCAAGGAAACCAGGAAGGAAGAGCCTGGGGGCAGAAGGAGGGCCATGAGGGGTGGCCAGCCATGTGCTGGAGTTTCATGAAGAGTGCAGCAATCCACAGGACCCAGTGCCACGGGGCAGCCAACAATAGAGGCAGAAAAGGGACCATCACGTTGGGGACTGGGGTTTAGGAGTGGACTCCAGCCACCCACATCTATGCCACCGGGTTATTCAGCAGCTCGTTCCAGGAGGGGTCTGGAAGTCAAATAATCTGAAGAATGGTCAAGGAAACCAGGATGCTTAACCTGGAAAAGATCAGTGTCTTCAGATGCCGCAAACACTGGAAAGTGGGAGAATTGAAGCAGTCCGGAGGCCTCCAACAGACTGGACTAAGGCCTCCCTGTAAGGAGCGTGGAATGGGGCAGGCACTTTGTGTCCAGTGCAAGGAGATAGCTTTCCATCAGTCAGAACTAGCCCGGAACAGGATGGGCTGCCCTGGGAGGTGAGATCTGCATCCTCTAATTGGCTGGGGCAAGTTTCCCAGTCTACTAGCTGCTCTAGCACCCGTCCTAATCACATGGAGAAGAATACAATGACAATGCTGGAGTCCTCCCTGGAGGGCCTCACCCACAGACCACAGTGGGGTACCGCAAAGGGGACAGCGGCACTGGATGGGGCTGGACTGGACTGTTTCTGTGGTCCCAGGTAACTCCAAGCTTCTGCAAATCCCCGACTTCCTTAGAAGAGTGTTCTAGTGTTCCTGCTATCAGAAATTACGGATTTTACAGTTAGTTCAGAGTCTTCACTCATCAGTTTAATTCTGTTTTCTTCAGTCTTGAGGATGGACAAAACGACGCTGAAATGCACAGAAGTGGAGCCGGCAGTCTTGGCTCACCTTGGTGTTTGTCTCAAGAGACGTGAACAACGAGACTTCCTCTCCATGTGACAAGACACACATCCTAACTGGAGTCATTATCCAGTAAGGACATAGCGGTCCTTTCTCCTCCCTCCTGTCTCCTTTTTGGATGGCAGATTTTCTGCTCTGCTGACAGACAGTTGTCCCTATAATGGATCCCAGGTCAGAAAATGCTCTGGTGAACCAACAAATGCACGTTCACCTCAGTTTAGGACCCTGAGCAAATAGACCCTGAAGAGAGAAAATGAAAATGCTTTTAAAAGTTATTGAGTCCACACCATGTGTCAGGTATGACTCCAGTTCCTTCCTTCCTTCCTTCCTTCCTTCCTTCCTTCCTTCCTTCCTTCCTTCCTTCCTCCCTCCCTCCCTCCCTCCCTCCCTCCCTCCCTCCCTCTTTCTTTCTTTTCTTTTCTTTTCTTTCTTTCTTTCTTTCTTTCTTTCTTTCTTTCACATTTATTTTTGAGACAGAGACAGAGTTCGAGCAGGGGAGGGGTAGAGAGAGAGAGAGGGAGACACAGAATCCAAAGCAGGCTCCAGGCTCTGAGCTGTCAGCACAGAGCCTGACCTGGGGCTCAAACCCACGAACCGCAAGATGATGACCTGAGCTGAAGCTGGACGCTTAACCAACTGAGCCACCCAGGCACCCCACCAGTTCCTTTCTTTACTGTGGCAGATGCCGTTTGGTGGCTAATCCCACAGATACGCTGCTCGCCCCTTCTATCCTACCTGACTCTCCTGGAGCCACTTTGCCCACAGGAGTGGCATGGGACACAATCCTGATCCAACAGAAATAAGGAGTAGCTTCTCTTGATAAATGGGACAGATCCTAGCTGCTATTAACCTGTCTCAACAAGGGATGTGATACTTGGAGCTGCAGCACCCTCGTGGGACCATGAGGGAAAGGTCAAGAGAAGGACAGAGACCTTGACCCAGATATCTTTAAGTCATTGAACTGGTGTTGCCATCTTTAGTCTTTTTTGTTACACGAGGTAAACGAGACCAGCGTCTCCTGGCCAAGTGCTGTGTAAAATGCTGCAGAGAAAACTGTAACTGGCATACGTGTATCACTTCTGTTAAGCTTCATCGTTAGTCTGTGATACAGATGAGACACCGGAGTGCGTGGAGGCTAAGCAGCTTTCCTGGGCCACGTGAATAGAAGGAGACGAGCAGAGGCTCTGGGGTCATGACTGCTGAACTGAAAACCCCAGTGCTTTCCACAAAGTGATATTAGCCCTCACTCGGTGCCTGTCAGAGCACATTCGTCGCTCCAACTTCTCATTTGGGGAAAAGCACGTGAAGAGGAATGTGGTATGTGTGCCCGCGAGGGTCATGGGACCTGGGTGCCTCCTTGTCCTGCGCCGAACCGTCTCCCTTCATTTCAGAGAACACATCCCATCTCTTTCTGGTGTAATAGTGGGCAGAAGGTAAGAAGCCGAGTGTCTTCGACAGCCTGGGGACTAGGCCGTACTGTGTGAGATGCTCGTAAACACCACTCTCCAAAACAATGGAAAAATTCAAATTACAATTCAAGCAATTCGGAGACAGCTGGGAGGGGGTGGCTTATGACAACTCAGCTACATTTACTCAGACCAAAACCAAATGAAAAACCATGAGGAAGGTACTGAGGAAATGACTGCAGTCATGTGAAATGTGAAACGTGCTTTTGAGGACCTAACTCGAATGATCCATCTGCTTGTGTGGGCTGAGCTTCAGGGGGGTTGCCTTTGCCTGTGAGCCATGGGGGCTGCCCCTGGGCTGAGACGGGGAGGGGCTCAATAACCACCCGGTCCTGAGCACAGAGGACGTCCTCCCCACACGGGGTGGGGCCCCGGAGGCCTCAGCTTGGTCTGGGATCGGAGAGAGGGCTGGCCTGCAGAGACACGGCGGGGTGAGATTCCCCGCTTCTCTGAGGCAGCTCCTCCTGCCCCATTTGTGAAAAGGTGTCATAACACTGATCTCGCCGACCTCCCAGGCTGAGAAGAGAGAAGGTGAGGTAATGATAGTGAGAAGAATCGGAAGCCAACTCATTTTTGGACGGTGTGTGAAACACGAATAGAGCAAGCTGTCGTCACGGCTCCTGCTTCTACTGGGTTGAACGACACGAAACTGCCAACATGCAGCTCTTTTCATAGAGAAAATGAGAATTTTGCGTGGAAAAACTAATAATATTTCTACTGAAAAGCACTGGACAGAATCACTGGGGTTCAGTTTTTTCTTTTATCAGGTGTGATAAGGGAGAGGCACATGCTGTTTCTACAGCCGGATGCCTTGGACAGATCTACGTGCAAGAGTATTCGAGACGTGTTTGATGTATTTATGCTCTACCTTGCTCCAGAAGGGCTTGAAGAACATGCAAAATCAGAGTTACCACAAATAGGAATGGAAGAAGTACAGGCAAAAAGAGGGTAGAAGGAGCACTGAGGCCGAAGGGGCAGGAGCCCACGGCCTGTCCTAGAGCTGGACGCCCAGTCCAGATGGAGGGGCTACCATCTCCGCCATCTCTAATATCTGGGAGACAGAGGCGGGTCAGAGAGGTGCAACTGCCCATGGGTGCTAAGTTCAGACGGGAGGTCGTCCCGTGTCGGATGGTGTGGGAAGGGGGATGGGCAAGTCTTAACATGGCAGGTGACCGTGTGAAAAGCCGCAGAGAAGACCCTGCCAGCAGAGCCCTACCGGGTCAGGTCAAGGTGGCCGACGACAAGGCTCCGTCCGTGGTCCGTCCTGGCGAGCTGCAGCAGCAGGGCCAGGCTCTGCTTCCGGAGGCCCAGAATGCGGGAGGTCAGCAGGGAGGGCAGCAGGCCGCCCATCTCGGGGCGCAGCAGCAGCAGGCGCTGGTTCTCCTCTGCAAGACAGGAGACGGGCATCTCAGGCACACGACAGCAGTCAAACCAGTCATTTGCCACCATCCCAACGGGCAAACCAGCTCTTCTGCCCTCATTTGAGAGGCAGAGTAATAAAGTGTAAGAGCCTGAGCTCTGGAGCCAGGCCGCCGGGTCCTGATGGCCAGGGAAACAATTGAGGCTGAGTCATCAACTCCCGCGTTCCTCAATTTCCTCATCAGAGAAATGGGGAAGACAGCCAACGTGGCCGAGGTGTTAGGAGGGTTCAGTGAGTGAGTCGGTGATGGCGCTCGGAACAGGGCCTGGCACACACGTTCGGTCACAGGCTCCTTGGTGTGCGGGATTTGGGATGTGAAGAAAGGGACAAGAATCAGCTTACCTGTGGCTATGTTTAGACAGTCAGTTTTCATATGGTGGCCAGAGGAACCACCGGTTCTTTCTAGAAAACTGGGGTGTCATGTGAGGACATTGATTAATGGAGATGTAAGTGACTTCCAGAGTGCTGGCACGGATCTGCCCCCTTTCACCTGGTTCATTTTCTAGCCAGGTGCATGAATTTGAGAGGAAGCAGAGGGATAGGCTGGAGTGGAGACTTCGCCACGAAAGGGAGCAGAGTTTGTGCAGTTTATATATTTTTTTCTCATACTGGAAAAGCAGCTCATTGCAAACAATCCAAAAGCTGAAAATGTGGGTTCCCTCATCTTGGGACCCCTCCAGGTGACCTCACTCCTTAAAGGAGCTGTGCTCATCTATCTCTCCTGTGAATAACATTAGAGAATGACCCATCCTATCCTGTAATTGGCTTCTGTCTCCCACTCGACAGTCTATCACGGACACCTGTCTCTGTCCTTAACTTTGTAAGCACCCCCTTGTCCTTTCTAAAGTCTTCTTTGTATTTACTGAGTTGGATACCCCAAGATTTCACGGCTCTGATAGAGTGTTTACATCACAGGCTGTGTCTGACAATATTTCTTCTGATGTCAAAGAAAAATGTGACCCCCAAGGTTCACAGAAACCCAAGTAGGTGCATGCTGAGGAAATCAGGGCTGCAGGGAGGGAGGGCTATCTCTGGTTTGCCCTGAGTAAACGCACGGCCACCAAGCCCTGCCTCTCTCACCCTCCTGTGGTGGGGGAATGTGAGATCGCCCCCCACCCCCCGGGCAAGTGCAGGATCCTAAGGAGCGGCAAGGCACCTTGATAATGGTATTAGTCTGAGCATAATTCCCTTCAGGAAAGAGTCCCCCGGATTCTCTAGTCTTCTGCAACTTCCGATGATTCCCTGGCTCTACTAAATCAATGGAAAAAACCTTGGGGCGCCTGGGTGGCGCAGTTGGTTAAGCGTCCGACTTCAGCCAGGTCACGATCTCGCGGTCCGTGAGTTCGAGCCCCGCGTCAGGCTCTGGGCTGATGGCTCGGAGCCTGGAGCCTGCTTCCGATTCTGTGTCTCCCTCTCTCTCTGCCCCTCCCCTGTTCATGCTCTGCCTCTCTCTGTCCCAAAAATAAATAAAAAACGTTGAAAAAAAAATTAAAAAAAAAATCCTATTTTCCCATATTCAGCGTGTCATGGTCTGCAAATTGCACCCACAAACTCTTCTGCTGGCTTCCCACAGAAGCCTTGCAAAAAGGAGACCCAGGCATCACTATTCCCATTTTCAGTGTTTTCTGTCCAAGGTCGGACCTTTCCCTATGGAAACACCACTTTTTTAACATGAGGGAAACACTTAAAAATTTTTTTTACATTCACTACATTACAAAGGGGTAAGAGAGATTGTGCAGAAACTTCATGAACCCCAGAAGATGCTGATAGGTAAAAAGGTAAATAAATGTTAATATGGTAAATAAAAGCCCTGCAGCATTTTACTGTCTCATTATCACACGAATCAGTGTCACAAGATGCTAGCAGAGACAACCGAAAATCTCAGGATGCTGAAATGGGTACCATGGTCAGCCAAAAGGAACTGTAGTTTTAGGTGGACAGGAAAGGAACATCTCCGTCCCCACCCGAGGCACAAAGCCCAAGGGGTGCCCGTGGAGCAGGAGCTGAGTTCATGAGTCTGCAAAGGGCAGAGGGGATAAGACCTCTCAGTATGCTGACAGTGACTGTGTCCACCGTCAAGGCAGTAGTAAGGGTGGCAGAGACATGACTCTAACGCAGGCCTCGCCTCTGATCGATATGCTCTCTCTGGGGGAAGGTCTGGACATCAGCTCCCTCGGGACCGGCCAGGATCACGCCCGAGCGCGGTGCTCCCGCATCAACAGTACGCTAACAGTGATGAGCAGTGACCACCCTGGCTTACCGTTCCCAGCGCACACTGCTTGCCAGAGTCTGAGGACGGACACACAGACCGTCTCTTCTACTGCATCTTTCCCTGCCGTGGAGAAGCACCTAGAACAGACAAAGGATGGCAATATTAAAACTGGAAAGCAGTACTGATCTTCTTTGTAGTTGGTTTTATTTCACCTCCAGACTTCTCCAATGTGGGTTTAAGAAAGTCATGTTATAGCCCAGAGCCGCGGTCACCAGGGCTGGAGGGCAAAGAGCTCCAGGACAGTCATGCAGGCCGAGTAGTCGGGGCTGCACAGAGGGAGGCTGGTGAGCCGCGGCCACGGGCGATGGCTGCACAGTGACCGGTGAACTGTAGTGGGCCAGCAGGCCACTGAGGGTCCATGGGCTTCCTCACACATGCAAACGTGTGCCAGTGAGTCTAGCCCACAGCAGTGTCCTCCTTAGCCAGGGGGACTGCACCCAAACCATCAAAATAGGAAATAAAATAAAAATAAAATAACATTTAGCAATCCATTTCCTTCCATATGGATCTCTTTTCAGATAAAAATTAGAAATGGGATCAGCCAGGACCAGGCTGATCTCACTTCTTGAGGCGATCAGCAAATTCCAAGAGAGGAGAACAAATAGCAATCTTGCAAACATTGGTGGGAAACCAGGAAAAGATGGTCACTTCTCAGGCTCTGCAGTACCTGGAGGGACCCGGGAAGTTTTGCAGACCCCTTCTCTCTGCAGTCATTGCTTGTGGTGTAACTCAAACCACCCAAGGCACAAGGCCCAAGGGGTGCCCGTGGAGCAGCACTGATCTCTCCCAGGGGCCCCCAACACTGACTAAATGGTCAGGCCACCCGGTGAAGCCACTGCCTGTGCGGGCAAGGGTTTTGGGGGAAACCAGTTGTCCTTCCTTGCTCTACTGCTGGCTGACTTTACAAACACCCCTACCTTCTTATGACCTCATTCTCGCCGATGACACTGAATCCATTGTGTGTTCTGAATAAAGTCTGTTCTGGGCCTGGAACAAATTCATAAAAAACCAGGTCAGACTCCTGAACTGTCTGGCTGAGGTCTAGCGGACAGTGAGAAATCCAACATGGAATGTCAAGCTCACCAAATTAACGGTTTGGGTGGAAACAAATACCTTTCCTTTCTGAAACCTATGGCTGTCATCAGCCACTTGTTGCCCCAGTAGAAGGGACATCCTGTTCAGAGAAGGGCAGCCGAGCCTGCGTGGCCTCATGGGTTATCTGACAACTCGTCATTTTATGATCTTTAGAGAGTCTCCAGGAGCTGCTTAACCTCTGGGACGAACTAGCATATTCACCTCTCTTGAATATTTATTTTGAAGCTCTGTCTAGGCTCTAGAGAACCCAAAACCTCCAAGAAACTACTGCAGGGAGTATGTGAGTGTCTTCCATCATATGCTAAAGGGAGGTCAGAGATCCTGCCTCGTTGTACAAACGGCATCCTGTCACTGAGTGAAAAAGTGGCGTAAGCCCCGATGGCAACATTTACGAGAACTGGTGAAGGAGAACAGCACAGCTCTCGTTAGCAGGAGAGCTCGTGTTTGCTCTGAAACTACGTGTCCCAGGCAGCCATTAAACATAACGGGATGAACCTTAGAGTTTATCCTACAGAATCGGGTCTTCCATTCCTCGACGTTTGGGAGATTTGTGAGGGCAGTCTACGGTGATCGGGGTGTACGTGGGGTACGCGTGGGATATGCAGCAGGTGTGCAGGTATGTGTATGATGTGTGGAGGGGGGAGTATGTGTGGCGTGTGTGTATGTGATGTAAACAGATGCGGTGCGTGTGTGTGTTCTGTGCTTTATTGCATGGAGGGTGTTCACTGCATATGTGCTGGGCACATGCTTGCTCTGGGGGAGGATGGAGCTGGGGCGGGGGTATATTTCCTGCACACCCTGTTTAGTCCCCACATCACAGTATGTCTTGAGTATCTGTGGAAGGAAGGGACACAGAGATTCTTTGCCTCATCAGGGCTGACCTCTCAACTGCCCCTTTACACCAACTATATCCACGAGGCCATACGCGTCTCCGGCTTACAATCCTTTATCATTTCAGTCAGGATTTCAATCCCTCCTGCATAGAACAAGGGGGTCTGATCAGGCTTGCAGAGAGTCTCCAGGACATTCTTGACTGTCACTGCCGTGTTCTTTCCCGAATCCAGCAATTCGTGGGCTTCCTTCTCTTGAAGATCTGCTTTCTCCCGGAGATTTACTTGATTGAGGTATTCTAGCAAAACAAGAAGGAAAACAAAAGGAAAGAAACCAAATAAAACTCCAACAATCAACATCACCACGCAAAGAGCTGCATTTTTGAGAATGGGAGGTTGAGAGCATGAAGCATTAAAATCATGCTTACCTGGTTTCAGGAAGGAACATTTTAGGAAGGGTGGACAGTCTATACCCAGAATCTTAAACCATCTTGGGGATTCAAGGACAACATTACTGCCTTGTCTAGAAGGTTTCTAAGGGGCAATGGTTGTAGAAAGGAGGAAGGCAAAGGTCTGAGTGGGAGAACAGAGGAAAGAGAAGGGGGTAGCCTGCTAACAGTGAGGGTTTGATGTGGCTTTGAGGCCAAGGGCAGAGAAGGAGTGGAAGGCACCTTAGGGCCAGAGCACAAAGCAAAAGCGGAATTCAAACTAAGGACACCAGCAGGAACATTCTCACCTTTCACTTGGGTCTGCAGCTGGGGGTTTATTTCTAAGATCTTCTGATAACACTCTCTAGACTGGAAAAAAAGAAACGCGACCTTGAAGAGTGGTCAGGGGTAAAGGTGATTATTAAGAAAGACACTGGGTACCACAAGGCTTGGCTTCATTATTTCCTCCCAGCCTCCTCTTGCTCCCAGCGTAGGAGGTAGGCATGGGGAACACAGCATGCGTCTGACATTTTGTTTAGGCTTTTCCGGTTCTGTGGGACAAGAGGTATTATTTCAGAGTTTATTTTTAAAAAGTAGTGTTGTCAGATACAGCCTGTGATGGAAAAATAGCTAGTCCTAAATTCTCATGGATTATGTCTGGTTGGAATAGGATTAATCATAAGGTAATTGCAAAATTTAGATATGATATTTGCATTGAGAGAGAACGGGAGGCTACTTGTCAGATATGCCCACAAGGAAGGAAATAAATGAAGCTAGACACTGTTGACAGAAACTTTTGGGAATAGGAAAAGAGAAGTACCTATTTATTTATGCATTTATTTATTTTTTAACGTTTATTTATTTTTGAGACAGAGAGAGACAGAGCATGAATGGGGGAGGGGCAGAGAGAGAGGGAGACACAGAATCGGAAACAGGCTCCAGGCTCTGAGCCATCAGCCCAGAGCCCGACGCGGGGCTCGAACTCACGGACCGCGAGATCGTGACCTGGCTGAAGTCGGATGCTTAACCGACTAAGCCACCCAGGCGCCCCGAGAAGTACCTATTTAAATAAACAGGGCTGCAAAGACAGCCAGGAAGGGGTCCACTCACTGGCCATATAAGGGTCGCAAGAAAACTTGAGTGAGGGGCTCTCAGTGAAGAAATTTCTAGGAAGTTTCTGGAGAAAAGACAGATTGTAATTCGTGGGGCAGGTTACTGGGTTTAGAGCAGTACTGTCCTCAGGGTTATAAAGAATGGCCTAGTCATTGAGAAAAAAGCTAAAAAAAAAAAAATGGTTCTGAGACATCTTGAAAGCTCAAGGCTCATCTAGAAGATTAGGACGAAGAAATGAACTGAAGAAAAAACATCACATTAAAACAGAGAATAGTGTTGCAGGACAGAAGTATACACATCAAACATGGTAACTGCTATAGACTGAGTGCTTGTGTCTCCCCAAAATTCATATGTTGAAACTGAACCCCCAATGTGATGCACTCGGAGGTGGGGCCTTTGGGAGGTGATTAGGTCATCGGGGTGGAGCCCTCATGAATGACATTTGTGCCCTTATCAAAAGACCCCAGAGCACTCTCTTAACCCTTCTGGCTGTCTGTCAACTAGGAAGCAGGCCTCACCAGACACCAAATCTACTGGTATCTTGATTTAGACACTCCAGTCTTCAGAACTGTGAGAAATGAATGCTTGTTGTTTAAGCCTCCTGGTCCCTGGTAGTTCCTATATGGCAGCCCAAAAGGACTAGGACAGTGAAGCTGTGTCCAACTTCTTTTTAACCCTAGATCTAGTCTACCAGCAATGGCTCTTGGCTTCACTGTTGGTATATATCCAGATTCCCATCATTTCTCACCACCTCCCTCAACACCAACCTGATACAAGCCATCATTACATCTCACTTGGAAAGTCTGTTGCTTTAGCCTTCTAACTAGTTCTCTGTTCTTTTCTGACTAGGCCAAGATCTATTCTCAATGCAGCAGAGCGATCCTTTAAAGCATGAGTCACATCATTTCACTCCTTCCCTCAAAACCCTCCAATGGCTCCCACCTCACTCACAGTAAAAGCCAAAATCCTTCCAAAAGCCTGGAAGGCATAGGGAATTAGTCCCCTACCATACCCCCCTCACCTGCCTGACCTCATCTCCTATCACTCTTCTCTAGCTATTCTGCTAACTGGACCACTACCCTATTATGTATCCACATGGCTTGCTCACTTCACTCCCTCCCTTCCTTCAGAGAGGCCTTCCCTGACCACTCCATATAAAACCAATCTCACCTTCATTGCTTCCTGATTTTGTTTGCCCAATAACACTTATCACCATCCAACATACTACACATCTATTTATTTGGTTCCTGTCTCCCGGCCCCACCTATCCCAAGAATGTAAGTTCCATTTAGTCAAGGAGTTTGTCTTGTTCACTACTATATTCCTATTGTCTAGGACAGTACCAGAGACACAGAAAGCATGTATACATGTTGGCTAAGTGAATTAATTAACTCAATGAACGAGTGAATAGAATTTGGTGGAGAAGGGAGGATTAACATTTTGTTCTTCCACTTTTTTTATTATTTGACCTTACTAGAATAAGCCTGTATTACTTTTAGGATTAAAATCCAACAAAGCAAAGAATTCTTAAAATGTACAATAGAAGTCAATTTCTTTTTTAAAAACATAATATCTTCTAAGTGGAAAGACATCCCATGTTCATAGATCATAAAACTTATTATTGTTAAGATAGCAATACTCCCCAAATTGATCTACAGATTCAATGTAATCTCCATCAAAATTCCATCTGGCTTCTTTGCAGAAATTTATAAGCTGATCCTAAAATTTGTATGGTAATTCAAGGGACCTAGAATAACTAAACAAGCTTGAAAAGGCAGAGCAAAGTTAGAAGACTCAAACTTCCCAATTTCAAATTCTACTAAAGCTATAGGAATTAGGACAATATGGCATAGAGATAAGAACAGACATAGATCAATGAAATAAAATGGAGAGTTCAGAAATAAATCCATTCATTTATGATCAATTGATTTTTGACAAGGGTGCCAAAATCATTCAGTAGGAGACAGAATAGTCATTTTAACAAATGGGGCTGGGATAACTGGATATCCACATGCAAAAGAATAAAATTAGGTCCCTTCCTCACACCATATCTAAAAATTAACTCAAAATCAGAGCTAAAGTCATAAAACAGAAGAAAACATGGAAGTAAATCTTGGATTAGGCAATGGTTTCTTATATAAGACATCAAAAGTATAAGCAATCAAAGGAAAAAATAAATAATTTAGACTCCCATCAAAATTAAAAATTTTTTGTGCTACAAAGGACACAATCAAGAAAGTTAAAGGACAACACAAAAAATGAAAGAAAATATCTGAAAAATCATTTATCTGATAAGGAACTTGTATCCACAATATATAAGGTACTGTTTATTTAATATAAAAATACAAATAACCTAATAAAACATGGGCAAAGGATCTGGAGAAATTTCTCCAAAGGAGATATACAAATGGCCAACAAGCACGTGAAAAGAGACGTAACGTCATTAGCTGTCAAGGAAATGCAGATCAAAACAACAACGAGTCATGTTTTACACCCACTGGGATGACTATAATCAAAAAGAGATAATGAGAAGTATTGCGCAGGATATAGAGAAATGGAAACCATGTCCTGCCGGTGGGCATGTAAGACGGTGCAGCCACTTTGGAAAACACTTTGGCAGTTCCTCCAAAGGTTAAACATAGAGTTATGTAACTGAGCAGTTCCACTCCTGGATAGAATGTACTCGACAGGACCATACACACATGCCCACACAAAAATTTGTATGTGGATGTTCATATAATGGTCCTAAGGGAAAATAACCCAAATGTTCATCAACTGATGAATGGATACATAAAATGTAGCCTGTTGATACAATGGAATATTATTCAGCACTAAAAGGAACGAAGTCCTGATAGGTGCTACAACATGGGTGAACCTTGAAAACATCATGTTAAGTGAAAGAGGCCAGTCACAAAAGACTATCTCTTGCATAATTCTATTTATATGAAGAGCCTAGGCAAATGCATACAGACAGAAGTAGATTAGTGACTGCCGTGGGTTGAGGTTAGGGTGGGGGGAAGGAGAGTGGTACTAATGGCTAGAGTGCTTTTGGGGAGGTGACAAAAATGTTCTAAAGTTGAGTGTGGTGATGGTTGCACATCTCTGTGAATACATGAAAACCCACTGAATTGTATACCGTCCACAGATGAACTGTCTGGTATGTGAATTATATCTCAATAAAGCTGCTATTCACAACATATTATATCTTAGTCTGCCTATATATCCGCATGGTTATTTTTGAGTGAAGAGATTACAAGTGAGTTTTCTTTTCATTTGTTGGCTTATATTTTTCTCTCCAGAGATGCTCCTCCTGGGGCTGACGGAACACTGGTAAAAGATACTGCAGAAGGGATTCCCAGAGAAGGTGGGGATGCCACTCAACGTCCTTCCCAACTCAACACATGGTAAGATGTTCCTTGGAAAATACTGTAAAAGGCAGATTAATATCTAATCGGCTTGGAGGAACGTAGTCCTTCTCTGAGACAATCTGGAGCATCGCTCTGGGATCAAACAAGCCACTTCTACTCCTCTAAGAACTTACCACACTGTAGTTCTTCAGGGCCAGATGGGCCTTTCCCATATGGAAATATGCTTTTGTGCATTTTTCATCACACTGCATAAAAGAGAATGACTGATCAGATGTTTGAAGTCATTAGCCACTCCCCTCATTGCCTGGCTAATAGAGTTAAGGCAGTCCTTCGGTTCTCAGCACAGCTACCACGGTTGGCAATTAAAACTTTTCTGTGCATTTGTGACCAAACTAATTGGTGCATGCTGCATGTACAAGTAAGCTCTCCATCAAATTAATTAATGATACTTGCCAGTTTTCATTTCCACATAATGAGACTCAATCAGGAGACAAACCAGAAACCCTTAGTTTAGGAGAGCTCTCAACCTTGCCTAAACATTAGAATCGCCTGGGATGCTAATCAAAATCTGGAAGGCAAGGCTGAAGCCCATACCAATTAAATTATACTCCAGGGTAGGGCTCAGGCATCAACAGTTTTTTTTAAGCTCTCTAGGTGCTGTAAACATGCAGCCAAGCTTAAGGATCACTGGTTTAACGGAAGAGAGAGACACCAACCCTGGGTCGACAGCTGAGGTTATGGTTACATCTTAGCGGGTCTGCCAATAAATCACACCACACATCCTGGGAACTTCTATTCTTATCACTTAAGATCAGGAGGGATGCCTCCTTCAAAAGGCAGGATCAGGATCAAAACTTACGGGAGACCATGGCATTTGCACAGGGGCCCTACACCTGCCTGCCCCTAATGATTACAACTTCAGAGGGACTGATTGGGCACAAAGACGTCAACTGTAACTTCTAGCATCCAGTTAATCAAACCCTTTCCCATGTGAGGCATTGTGTCAGGGATGCCCTCCAAGGGTCTAGATTTAAAGAGGTGATGAGTGCCAGCTCAGGAGTCTAAAAAGTCCTGGGTGAACGCCTGGCCCGCCTCTCACCAGAAGGGGGGTGTTGGCCAGGCCACCTAACTTCTGTGAGGCTCATTCTCCTCACGTGGAAAGTGAAGACAGTGATAGTGTCTCGCTCGCAGGTTGTCACGGGGAGGAAACGCACGTGGCGCTCAGTGCAGCACCAGGTGGTACGGCATCAGCAGCTGTTGCCACAACGGTTGCCACAGCAGCTGCTGTCCATTTCAGGGCAGAAGGGACTTTGAAGAAAAGCTGAGTGGTCATAGAAGAGGTGACACGGTCATATTTGGAGAGGGCTTTATAGCTGATTTTCACGAACATCATTTCCTGACGCGCTGAGTGAGTGGCAGTGGTAAGTAATAGTGCATTATTGTTCAGTCCTTACCGTGCGGCTCATAGGACTTGTCTCGTATAATCCTTGTAACAACTCTACGAAGTTGATGCAGTTCTTATCCCCATTTTACAGATGAGGAAACTAGGGGGTGGAGAGGTTCAAGGTCACATAGATACTAAGTGGATGAGCTGGGATTTAAAATCTGGCCATCTGACTCTGCCCCAAAGGCTTAAAAGGACACCAAATCACCTTGAGAAAAGTGCCCCAGCAGGTGAGGAGAGGGAAGCCCACTCCAAAGAGGCCTGGTCTAACAAAGAGTGTGCGAAGGAGGGATCTGAGGTGGGTATCAAAGGATGTGGAGAGGTGAAGAGAGAAGGAGGGAGGGAGAATGGGCTGAGCAAGGTCAGGAGGTGGGAGGGGGCAGGGAGCTTCCATCCAGGACAAAGGGCAGGGGCAGGGCAGGGAGGGTGTGGCTGGAAGGGGTGAGCGAGCAGCGGGGGCATACAGGATAGTCTAGAGGTGGCACACAGAACTGACCAGAGGCGGGAAAGGCAGGGGCCAAGTGAGGAAACCAAGACAGTCATGCAGAATGAGGGGCCGCATCTGCCCTGGTGGAGCAGCAGAGAGAGTGCAGACGCCAGAGCTCTGTCACAGACAGATGACAAAGAAGAGGAGGATGTCAAGTAACGAGTTTGGGGTTCAGATGTCTGGAAGGCAGCACACGCCCTTAACAGAAGGGGAAGTCAGGGCTGGTAGTGAGGAAGGCTGGGGGAAGATGATGAGTTTGTTCCTAGACGCATCATCTTTCCAGTGATGCGAAGACAATCACAGAGACCTGTGCCCTGCGGTCCTCGGAGGTGGAGATGGGGAACAAGGTCTCCGGGCCGGCTGGACCCAGGAGAGACAAGAGCTTTGAGGGGGAAGCTGCAGAGAGAGGGCAGGGAGCCCAGGAGTGAAGCCTGGAGAATCCACAAAGGAAGAGGTTGAGGGGGCAGGAAAGGAATGGTGAGGGGGAAAGAAAGTGCCAGTGCTGCAGCCCGTGAAAGCCAAATGTTCACTGTCCCTTGGCTGCAGGGTTACAGCAGGGTGCAAAATAAACCCAGAGCCTCAGAGCCCTGTCCTTGCCACCCTGTGTGTCTCTGTGTGTCACAGAGATGGGGCATGGTCATGACTCTGCCCGCCCTGGCTGCTAACGGAAGTCCTCTCTGATGGGTCCTTCTCCTCTGATCATGTGTCAATATTCACCAGGATATTTTCAGGTGAGTCCCAGATCCCCTTAAAAGGAGTCCTGTTTTGGGACACGTGGGTGGCTCAGCCAGTTAAGCGTTCGACTTGGGCTCACGTCATGATCTCACGGTCCCTGGGTTCGAGCCCCCATATCGGGCTCTGCTGACAGCTCAGAGCCTGGAACCTGCTTTGGATTCTGTGTCTCCCTCTCTCTCTGCCCCTCTCCTGTTCACACACTCCCTCTCTCTGTCAAAAATAAACATTAAAAACGATTTTAAAAAAAGGAGTCCAGTTTTCAGAGGATGATAGATTTTATCGTGCAGAAAGTATTCCACCAAGAAAGAAATGACTCTGACTGGAACCAGCTTCACTGCCTCATCTTCCCTGATGAGGAACAGGAGTCTTGAAATATCCTCATGTGAGCTTGTCTCTACCAATTCAAAAGTGTCAAAAATCTTAAATGAGCATGAAAGTTACTAACACCATTAATAATGGGATGGCAATGACATGCGTTATTGAGATACTACTTTTTTTTATTTTTTTTTATTTTTTTTTATTTATTTTTTATTTAAAAAAAAATTTTTTTTTCAACGTTTATTTATTTTTGGGACAGAGAGAGACAGAGCATGAACGGGGGAGGGGCAGAGAGAGAGGGAGACACAGACTCGGAAACAGGCTCCAGGCTCTGAGCCATCAGCCCAGAGCCTGACGCGGGGCTCGAACTCACGGACCGCAAGATCGTGACCTGGCTGAAGTCGGACGCTTAACCGACTGCGCCACCCAGGCGCCCCAAGAGATACTACTTTTAAAGAGAGAAACTTTTAACTCACCACTTTGACACAGAACGGACACTGTTAGTTTTTAGAGCTCCTCATACATTTTCCCCCAGCCCTCCAAGTGTTTACACAGCCTCTTCAACTGGGAGCCTCGCTGGGCATTTCACAAGACTGGCTGCTGAATGTCAGAGTTTTTTAATGTCAGCTTTGCTGGGCCCGCTTTGCCTTGGTTTCACCCTTAATTACATTGTGCTTCATTTAACATTTGGGAACCGGCCAGCATGTTACCCTGAATCAACATGCTGATGGTGTCACTACCTCTTTGGTCCCTTTCAGATCAGAACAGATACTCCTGGGAGCCCCACTGGGAGATCTTGCTTCTCCCATGGAAGGGAGCAAGATCCACACCCAGGGACTGTAGGGTTTCTCAGGTCCAGTAGAGAAGCTGTACGAAGTATGGGATTCAGACACTGGCTTACAGTGAGACTAACATCAGCTATGCGGTTCGGCACAGGTTACTTCATTCACCTTCAAGGCTTGGTTTCCTTGCCAGAAAAATAAGGATGACGGTGGTATTGAACACAAGGGAAGAGAAGGTTGTGAGGCTCATGGCCAGCATGCCACAAACAGGGGCTTTAACACTTGATCTTAGCCAAGAGGCCGAGAAGCAATAAACGGGGGCTTTTGCTGTGATTATTGGAATAATTGAGGAAAACATCCTTGCCTCTCTCTTCTCTTATGGAATGGGGGCAGAAAAGAAATTATGGTCACATAAAGTGACAAGACAGGCTGGGGACCTAGGCTGGTCCTAAGCTGTGAAGAACCTGAGGTCATCAGCTCTGGGCAGCTCTTGTAACCTCAAGACCATAACGGTGCAATGGGACAGGATTTGCCAATACGCCGGATCTTCTAAGGGAAAGGGGAATCATGCACCCCACCTGTCAGTTCCGGAGGAGCCCTCGTACTTTATAAACCATCATTCATCAAGGTGAGTTTCTAACTCACCCCAGTTTCCCTTGCTTACCTTGTCAATAAAAAATAAGGAAGGAGGTGTGGCCAATATGCTGCTGTCAAAACATGCTCTAGTTTTGGGCCACGCTCACTGCCCTGGGGTTCAGTGGGCTGAACTGGAGGAATCTGGGCCAGAAGATAAACCTGGCATGTTCTCCTGGCACTTCAGTTTTACGCGCTTGTAAGTTACCGAAGATACTATGGGGATATTAAGACAAAGAGATAAATTTCATGGAGTGCCATGCCAAATTTGCAAGATTTTTATGATAAAACATGTATCTAACAAGAAAAGTCCTGCTCTCCGCCTCTAGACCCTGTGGTGGTGTGGCGGGGGGG